GTTTTTAAACTGTGTAATGTGGTACTTTGTGTTACTTACCTACACTTGGTTTTTAAACTGTGTAATGTGGTACTTTGTGTTACTTACCTACACTTGGTTTTTAAACTGTGTAATGTGGTACTTTGTGTTACTTACCTACCCTTGGTTTTTAAACTGTGTAATGTGGTACTTTGTGTTACTTACCTACTCTTGGTTTTGAATACGTATGTTTGGCTAATTAAAGAATAATTTTCCTGAAAGGGGGCTGGAGACTGCATGGAGGGGGTCACCTATTTTAATCACTATACAGTAGTGTGTTGTCTTTCAGTCAGTCAGTCAGTAGACACTAAAATGACATCACCTAAAGGACTCTTAATGTCGCAATTTGTACTGTCTGTGACGTCGGTAAAACATGCACACGTCATGAATAACATGAAGAATTATGCACTCTGTAGGCTACAACACAGCATGACATACAAACTTCAAAAGCAAGAAATAAAAAATATTTGTTACTTTTAATTTTGGTTTTATTTACTCTTGAAACAGAACACTTTCGGGGACCCAGCAGAAGTACATCTAGTATTATATGAGTGTATCATATTTTTTAACTGCTGGAACATTAATTCTTACACGAATATTGTTTTATTAAAATACCAACGTTATTTGTGTGGATTTACACGTGAGAGTTGTGACAATAACTAAGCATAAACCATGGACAGTTGTTGTAATGCTTGCTGATTCTGAATATACCGACCTTTGCTCTTTGTCAAATTAAGGAGACAATAAAGAACACCATCACCCAATTTCTTAAAAATATAAGAAGGAAATTAAGATAAATTACTTGTTTTCAGGATTCCATGTACTCGTAATCATTACTTCTTGAAGATAAGGAGAAGAGAAGCGATATAATGGATACAAGTAATATTGAGACAGAAAGGAGTATCAATAAGTCAACTTCTTCATCATCCTTGCCTCTTGACGATGAAGAGAAAGAGGTGAGTAAGACAAGTCCGTGCCAAACACGGACTGTACTTGAAAAAGAACCAGAAAGACCGACTCGTCCGTCACCTTTAGTTGAGAATAATGAAAGGGCACGGACCAGTGATCCGAGCACTGAAGGAAAGAACAAATCAGTGGCTCATCTGAATTCGTCAAACTTTTCTGATATAAGTGATAGTGATGATGACTTTCTTCTTGCACCACCAGAGGTCCTTATTTCTTTGAAACACCTTTACACACTGAATGAGCCAATAACACCAAGGAAAGAAGCAAGAATGAAGTACACTAAAGTGGTGAGTTTCTTTTTTGTGATATGTTTTACAAAATATTTTTCAACAAGAATAATGTTTTTGGAAACTCTAATTTTGATTGATTAAGCATCATTTTTTTTTGGGAGGGAGTCAAGACAATTAATTTCAAGTAATTGAAAATAATAATTAGAAATCGTATCGATAATTGTATAATTTGGAAATAAAGTGAGATAAAAAAAGATCTTTACTCTCCAGATACTAATAAAAAAACAACCAAACTTGGCCAGTATTTTGCCTTTGTGGCTTCATCAGGGCCTATTAGTAGTACATGAAATTGTATAGTTGAAATATCAAAAACAGTAACAATCAGAAACAAAATTTGATTAGTTGATTATTTTCATGACATTAATCAGTCTACGGACTTACAACGCTAAAATCTGGGGTGCAATTCCTTGCAGTGAACACAGTAGATAGTGTAATGCGGCTTTGCTCTAAAACAGACAGACAGACAACAATCAATTTAATCCTAACTACAATAAATCGTTTTTTTTTTTTTATGACACTAATTGATGTCCATAGGTACTCAATTATTTCTGTGAATCTTCCAGCTGTTACCACATTTAATAATGTGCGTATAAAAATTTAAATGCTGAAAGTTGCTAATAATATAAATAACATTTTGATATTATATGAGAATATCATTCTTATACTCGTGCGTTGCTGTAATAAACTTGACTGAAATGACGTGTACGAGTTCTTCGTAGTATCAGTTAATGTTAAATTTTTCACGGAAAGATCGTATTTTCATTTTTTTTCATACAACAGTTGTTGTGAAATTTGGCTTTAGTCATGCAGTTTATTACTTTTTCTCGTTCTTTATACCGTTTGTTGTCCGAGTTATTCCATTGAAACTGCTATGAACTAGTACATACTTGTATACCATTATCTGGTAAGCCAGTGTAAACTGTATTCATTACAATTCCATTCTTATCTTTATAAGTTAGGACATAAAAAAAAGTATGTTTAATTAGCTGTACTGGGCTACTTTCTAGTTATGATCTACGGAGGTAGCCTGCTTTGTTTAGAAGTGTACATTAATCATTTACAAGTCTCATTATTTACTTTACTCAAGACAAACTGGAATTTATTACAAGACATTTCTAATACAGTAAAAAAAGTAATGACTTACATCACTAGAATGTATCTTTATTAGCTCAATGTGTTGCTATTACAGCTTTATCGGGAGCTATCGATATCTACAGGTTCACTACTCTAGTCCAGTTGCAGCTTTTATGATATCGATAGCTCTTGACGTAGCTGTAATAGCAAAATATTGAGCTAATAAAGATACATTTTGGAGATATCGATCACTATTTTATTTATCTTAATAGAAATGAATGTAAAGTTAATTTAGTTTTTGAAGATATTAACTTTAGGAAATGTGGTTTGCCGTTTTATTTTTTACTTACAGAAATATGATTTTAAATTTAAAGGTTCACGTTGGTAAGTATTAGTACCTTAAAGCCAAAGGTAAATAAATATGCAGTATACAGTTGTAACTCATTAATTGCCATTAAAAAGTATAGTCTCGATATTTGTTCTCGTAATATGTTTTAGATTTTGTTATTTTTTTTTGTCGTTTTACAACATTGTAACATTTTGCTACTGTACGTATATGACAGAAAAATAATAGTCCAGCTGACGATAAAGAGTTAGACAACTCAAAAGTTCATCAATATTACAAGAAACAGAAGTGTAGCCTGTCCTTGGATAAGTTATTAAAAGATATGGAAGTAGATGCCGAGTTGAAAGCAATGGATGAGGAATTAAAACGGGGGCAGGTGTCACTTGAGGAGAATAATGAGGATAAAGTTTTGGTTCAGTCTCCTTCACACTATGGACTTTCGGTTGAACAGTTTATACTCCCCGAAGACCGCATTTCTAAGGCCTCTCCTGGACTTTCTGTGTTTTCTTTGAAGCAGTGTTTTCAGTTCTTCAGTCAAGGAAAAGGACTCACTCTTATTAGCTGTGGTTTCAAAGAGGCAGAAGGAACAAACTTTGACAAAAAACTTATGAGGATTCCAGAAAGACTTCTTCCTCAAATTATAGTCTCGGGAAGTTTTCACCATCAACTCCAGTTCACAGCCTTCAAAGAACCTTTGCTCTTGTACCTTTTCAGACTTTTAGGAACCCACCAAGAAGTCTTAGTTCAAAACGCTTGTAAACAGAGCCTTTGGAACCTGATGAGTTTCAGTTCTTTTGTGAAGACTGACCAGTTCAAGTGGTGTCCACCTCTGAAGGAGCTGACCAAAGTTTTTATTAATCTTGGTGAGTTGAAGTTAAAGCTAAAATTCATTTTGAGACACACTTTTTTTGTAAAGTTTACTTAAGGAAAGGGCTTTGTATGACTTTTGTAGAGCCAGGCGTTTAATCGATAAGGTGAATTATCTATGAGCACAGATTAAATTGACTAATGTTGTGTGTTAATTAATTAATTAATCAATCTAAATTATGGTTAAATCAATTAGTGTCATGAAAGTAATAAACCAATCAAAATTATTGTTTACAATTGTTAGTTTTTCATTAATTGTAATTACAAATAAATTGATTGTCGCGAAAATAACCAACAAATTGAAACTACAATTTCAGATTATTCTAACTATCTAAGTAATAAAAACAATTACCATTATGTTTGTTTGTTGTTAAGTACCAAACTACATAAGGGTGGGATTACCTCATGATTTTAGGGTTTTGGGTTTGATTTCTATTACCACTAAACTTGCTATCTTCTGCCACTGTCACTAATTTTGAACTGCTGACTACAAGGAAGGCAACTGACTGGCAGGATCCACTGCCAAACATCTGATTACTTAAGTATTAAATAAGGTGTAAATTTAATGTTGGATAAGCATGCATGGCTCTAGGGGAGGGGTCAAGACCCCCCCCATTCCTTTTTTTTTTTCCAGAAATTAATAACTATTTTTTAATATTGTATAAGCAGTTGCTGATCTAGTGGGGGTGGATGGATCTAGAGAGCTTTAACCCCTATATTCCCCTTTTATTTTTTCAGATATTGATAACTGTATTATTTAATGTTGTATAAGTAGGTGTAGATATAGGGGGCCTGGACCCCTCCAATTGTTTTTAATCAATAACTATTCTTGCTGTATAAGCAGGCATGGATCTAGGGAAGGTGTCCAGGGACCCAACCCCCTCTAATTTTTTCAAACATCAATAACTGTTATTGAATGTTATATAAATAGGTATAGATCTAAGAGAGAGTCTGGACCCCTTCCATTTTGTTTTTAGAAATTAATTAAAAAAACATCCAGGTATCTTTACATAACCAATTTAGTACCAAAAATAAACACTAGATGTCAGTGCTTTTAATTGCCTCAACCAATAACCGATTATTTCTAAGCTAATACAACAATATGAACATCAATTAAACATTACCATGGTAAATTTTGGTGTCCAGATTTTTAAGAGATTTGTTTTCATCAAAGTTCATATTGTTTAGGATACCTTCAGCTCTTGCAAACATAGATTGATTTTTTATTGTTTAGAAGTTATAATTCTTGTGAGAGAGATATTTTCCTGTTTTTGATGTCTAAAATAAATAAATAAAAATGCAAGTGGTATGACTGTATAAATATGGACGTAGATTTCTTTTTTAAGTACTTTCATCTTTTTTACCAATGTTAGAATTATTTTTCAAAACATGATTATAATCAATTAGAACTATTTAATTTCAAGTAAAATATTTGTTCTTGACTGTCTTTATTTTCATATCGATCACATCACCAGAAATGGAGATACAAGTTTTAAAATCACCAGGTGATAACCCGCCTGATCTAATCATTTACAGAATATATTAGCATTATTTAAACTTTGTCTGACTTCTTTAGGACTAAATGGAGATACAAGTTTTGAAATCACCAGGTGATAACCCGACTGAACTAATCATTTACAGAATATATTAGCATTATTTAAACTTTGTCTGACTTCTTTAGGACTAAATGGAGATACAAGTTTTGAAATCACCAGGTGATAACCCGACTGATCTAATCATTTACAGATTATATTAGCATTATTTAAACTTTGTCTGACTTTTTTAGGACTAAATGGAGATACAAGTTTTGAAATCACCAGGTGATAACCTGACTGAACTAATCATTTACAGAATATATTAGCATTATTTAAACTTTGTCTGACTTCTTTAGGACTAAATGGTCGAATCTGATTAATCCAAGATACTATATTATTGTGGAAGTTTTGTTTCATGTAAAAAAATACTGAAAATTTGGTTACAGTGTTACACAGCTAACTTCTAAAGGGTTAACTGGTATCATACTATTATAAAAATGAAAACACTAGTTAGTGTGGAAAAGTTAAACACAGCTGTTATTTGTTAACCCTAAGGTGCACCTTTGCGAAAGGGTTAATACAATATTATCTGAATAGACTTTTAGTTTTATTCTTATTCATTTCCTATTGGTCTTTAAACTTTGTAAAACAAAATTATAATTTATGTTGTAAAATAAATTGATGATATGCTAATTTTTATGTTGTTTGACCTTAAAGTTAGGCTACTGAAAGAATATTCAAAAATACTAGGTTTTTGCTTTGGCTAAGTGCTTGTCTGTCTGATAAATAAAATATGTTATGGTTATTTATTTCTCTTGGTTGGTTACAAAGTGCTTGAGTAACTGTGTAGATATAAATACAACACTTAAGACTCCACCATTGTTGTAAACAATACTCAATTGTATTTCTGCACAGCTGAAAAAAAGTTTTCCTGTAAACAAAAAAAAGCAAGCGACTTTTTAAAAATTTTCTGTTCATCCCAAATAATAATTATTTTTGCTAATGACCTGTCACTCATTCAGAATACATTATCTATTTCTTGATTCTCAAGCGTTTACTTTAGTTTTTGTTATATTGCCGCGTCAAATGGTTTAAACATTCACTGGTAAAACACAGCTTTGAAAATAGCGATAAATGAAGTTTAAATATGATTGGATAGAGCAAGAATTACATCATAGTATAGTAAATGTATAGGTTTTAGAATTTTTTAAAAATACTTTCTGTAAATTTCCCATTGTTTTTAATTGTGGAAGTATTTCTGCATTCAATTATATCTGTTTGAAAGTTGTCTTCAGTGAGAAGACACCCGATAACTTAAGGTAAGTTTATACAGCTTAGAGACGGGTTGAATGGGTAACAAAGAAAACTTTAACATAGTAACAGATGTAGAATGAATGTTTCGAGAAGATTTTTGGGTTTAATCAGAGAGTTTGTACGTAACAGATGTTGAAAACCCAGCAATAAATTCCAGGATTTTGAACCAAAGTTGGTAAGATTCGTATCGGAGTGCAGACAAGTGTCTGTCTTAATTACAAACCTAGAATTTTGAGTAACTTACTACAGAAATGTCACCTTTTCACCTAAATGTATCATGAAAAGTTGGATATCATAATAATTTCTTAGAGGTTGTCGAGCCACCAATAAGACAAAGGAGTCTAGTCTCTTGTAGGGATTTATTTTATATACCCTAAGTTCTAGTCTTCTATAGGGGTTTATTTTGTATACTTCAAGTTCTAGTCTCTTGTAGGGATTTATTTTATATACCTTAAGTTCTGGTCTCCTATAGGGGTTTATTTTGTATACCCTAAGTTCTAGTCTTCTATTGGGGTTTATTTTGTATACTTCAAGTTCTAGTCTTCTATAGGGGTTTATTTTGTATACTTCAAGTTCTAGTCTTCTATTGGGGTTTATTTTGTATACCCTAAGTTCTAGTCTTCTATAGGAGTTTATTTTGTATACTTCAAGTTCTAGTCTTCTATAGGGGTTTATTTTGTATACTTCAAGTTCTAGTCGTCTATAGGGGTTTATTTTGTGTATGACTAGAACTTGAATTCTATAGGGGTTTATTTTGTATAATTCAAGATCTAGTCTTCTATAGGGGTTTATTTTGTATACTTCAAGTTCTAGTCTTCTATAGGGGTTTATTTTGTATACCCTAAGTTCTAGTCTCATATAGGAGGTTATTTTGTTTAACTTATATTCCAGTCTCCTATAGGGGTTTATTTTGTATATCTTAAGTTCTGGTCTCCTATTTTTTTTTGTGACATAATTCTCCTTATATATAATTTTTCCTAAAGTTAGTTCTTTTTATTTTATTTTGTATAATTAACTTAATAGGTATTTTTCCAAAAAATATGCTTGGTTTAAAATCATTGATGAATCTATCACTGTAAACCAGTGATAATCAAAATTAAGGTTAGTGTTTTACTATTAAAAAAAAGTAAAGCCAATAGGTTTTTTTGTAGTAATTAAGCCAGTGTTGAACTGAATACTTTAGTGTTTCAAGGCACATAAAGCAATTTTATTAGGATTAAATCAAAACGAACAGTTAGAGACGATACATGGAAAACACATTGAAACTGGAATCCAAGTGTTGCACAGACTGCATGGAATTTATACACATGAGAATGGGACCAAAACCCAATGATATTATCTTCACACAGTGGAAGATGCTGTGACTGGCTTTCATAGGAATTAATTGTAATGTGTAAATGTCTTTAAATGAGAAAATTAGGATAAAACATCCAGATTCTTTTGTTATTGGTGTCAACATTTACAAACAGTAGAGTTTTTAAAGGTGTCAACATATACAAACAGTAGAGTTTTTAAAGGTGTCAACATTTACAAACAGTGGAGTTTTTAAAGGTGTCAACATTTACAAACAGTAGAGTTTTTAAAGGTGTCAACATCTATAAACAGTAGAGTTTTTAAAGGTGTCAACATCTATAAACAGTAGAGTTTTTAAAGGTGACAACATTACAAACAGTAGAGTTTTTAAAGGTGACAACATCTACAAACAGTAGAGTTTTAAAAGGTGTCAATTACATTTTTCTCTTGACGTCAACATTTACAAACAGAGTTTTTAAAGGTGTCAATTACATTTTTCTGTTGGTGTCAACATTTACAACAGTAGAGTTTTTAAGGTGTCAGAGTGGAGTAAAATCATTTTATTGTCCGATTGAATGTTACATTTTGAATTGGGGGGTGGATAGCACAGGTAGCTCTTGTGTAGATTTGCACAAAATTCAAACCAAACCCTGTTGCTTACATAGAAAATGAGTGATTTCACTACTGAAATTTATTAAATTCAGTGTTACAAATGTGGTCTAGCAGTTACAGTTTTTATTACTTAATGGATTCTTGGCACGAGTTTGAAGGTTTATATTTGGAGATACTTCCACAATGTTTTGAACAGACCTTATATCTTGTAGATACTTATGTGGTATTTGTTCGGTTTCCTTTATACCAGGAGGATAAGAAGTCAGAATTTAACTGAACTAAGTTCAAGTAAAGAAGTAAATGGACTGGACATGATGCGTCATATAAGATGAAAGAAATGTTAGTTTAAATCAGTAAACAAACAGCGTATGTACGTACTTCTTGGACACCTGCTGCTCAACAGATTTCTTCCCATCATCCAACTCACGATCCTGAAAAGACTATTTGAATCAAACACTAAATAACAAGAGATGTTCGATTTACCCGTGGTATCCGTCACCACCCACAATTTATCGTTCTCATTGAAACCGAGGCCGTAGCTTTGCGAAATCACGTGCTCTTCCAGTGAAGGGCACTGCTGTTTTTGCACAATGTGCAAAGTTACAACAGCATCCTCCATTGGCAGAGCAGGTATTATATCTAAAGAATAACAAAGGCAGCTTGAAGAAATTGAACTAAACAGTTTTCTGGACCATACCTAATGAGAAAACTGCTTAGATTCGGTATAAATGTTAACTTTTGAACAGATTTTATATTCTGTATATTTATACTATTTCCACTGTACTTGGAACAGATTTATACCTATATGTGGAAATACTTGTGTTTTGAATATATTTTATTTCTGTACACGCGCATTGACCAGCTATTTGTCTTCACTGCGTAATTATTATTTTCCAGATATTAAGTTTTTGTAACAGATTGTTTTAACATGATAATTTGAAGCTATTGTGGTAAATTATTGATAATTTTTTTTTATACAAAACCAAGTTAACATGTTCACTGCCACGTGTGCCCCACCAATTAGTCACAGACAGTTATGTTTCAAAGCCAAATTTCTATTGTGACATACGAGTTTGGGACTCTGTGATGGTTGTTGTATGTTAAATTTTTTTATACTTTATTTATTATTTGGCTGCCAATGTGTTAAATAATTGATTTTAATTGTTTTGCCCATTTAGGAGTTTTCGCAAGTGACCACTGTCCACTCAGAGATTTATTTCGGGAAGCAGAAGGTGAGTTAAGGTCTTCTGTAGCAGAGCAAAGAGTGGTTGAAAATAGTGATCAAGCTGCTGGGACTGATTTAGAAAACTCTAACAGTGACAGGTTTCTTCAGAATCTGTACAACGTCATTGAAACTCTAGCATTTCTCATTGAAAACTGGAATACGTACTCCTACGAAGATTTAATTAATATTGTTCAGCTTCTATGCTGGGTTAGTCTTGATCCTAAGGCTGATGGTCTGAGTGTCGTTATTGAGAGATGCATAGCTGCAGTCTTGGAAGAAATTCCCCAGTCAGAGTGGTGTGATGTGGTAAGTACCAGCTGTCCCGGTGTTTGTAAGGACCGTTTAATGATATCCGTATATGTATGGAAAGTTTTAGAACAGACACAGCTTCTGCTAAGTTATCTACATTTATGTTAAAAATAGTACAGTATTTGAATCTGTGTGCCTAAACTAGATGTCACATTAGATGCAAGTTGTATGCTTTAAAATCGAACCTTTAGATGTAAGTTGTATGCTTTAAAATCAAACCTTTAGATGTCACATTAGATGTAAGTCGTATGCTTTAAAATCGAACCTTTAGATGTCACATTATATGTAAGTTGTATGCTTTAAAATCGAACCTTTACATGTCACATTAGATGTAAGTTGTATGCTTTAAAATCGAACCTTTAGATGTAAGTTGTATGCTTTAAAATCAAACCTTTAGATGTCACATTTGATGCAAGTCGTATGCTTTAAAATCGAACCTTTACATGTCACATTAGATGTAAGTTGTATGCTTTAAAATCGAACCTTTAGATGCCACATTAGATGTAAGTCATATGCTTTAAAATCGAACCTTTAGATGCCACATTAGATGTAAGTTGTATGCTTTAAAATCAAACCTTTAGATGTCATGTTAGATGTAAGTTGTATGCTTTAAAATTTTACCTTTAGATGTCATGTTAGATGTACGTTGTATGCTTTAAAATTTTACCTTTAGATGTCATGTTAGATGTAAGTTGTATGCTTTAAAATTGAACTGTAACGTACCTACTGTCATCCTTAAACTTGACTTTCTCATGAGTTTCGTCACATCTTTTGTTTTAGCTAGAAGATGCTTAAAAGTTTTCACAGAACTAGGATATTACCATTGCTGTAGTAACTTTCTAATACAGTGCTCGGATTTATTTGTATTTTTAAGATGCTAAATCTCTCCTTGGATTAACCAGTTTTGGGGAATTCTATCTGCTGAAAGAGATGTCATAATGACAATAATGTGTACTATGAGACTTCTTAGTAAGTAACAATTCCCCTTTGAACCAAGAGTCAGAAAACTATTTATTGTGTCGACTAATATTTCCAAGGCCAAACAGTTTCTTAATACATCAAAACAGTAATATAAATCTGCCTTTCAAGAGTCAATTATCAGTGAAGTTACAGGAGTAATGATAGTGACTTAGTTTGTATATATAAATTTCAGGTGTGTCAGTTATCACTGAAGTTAACGGAGCCGCAAGGTAATGATAGTGACTTAGTTTGTATATATACATTTCAGGTGTGTCAGTTATCACTGAAGTTAACGGAGCCGCAAGGTAATGATAGTGACTTAGTTTGTATATACACATTTCAGGTGTGTCAGTTATCACTGAAGTTACAGGAGCCGCAAGGTAATGATAGTGACTTAGTTTGTATATACACATTTCAGGTGTGTCAGTTATGACTGAAGTTAACGGAGCCGCAAGGTAATGATAGTGACTTAGTTTGTATATACACATTTCAGGTGTGTCAGTTATCACTGAAGTTACAGGAGCTGTAAGGTAATGATAGTGACTTAGTTTGTATATACACATTTCAGGTGTGTCAGTTGTCACTGAAGTTAACGGAGCCGCAAGGTAATGATAGTGACTTAGTTTGTATATATATACATTTCAGGTGTGTCAGTTATCACTGAAGTTAACGGACCTGCAGGGTAATCATCACGATTTGGTATACGTGGCCAACAACCTTCCCCCATCTGTTAGAGGGATACAACTCAGACAAACACTGAGTTTTTTTGCAGTTCAGAAATATCTTGATGTACCCACACCCCAGCTGGAGACAGATGTTACTGTAGGTATTTTAGTATGTTGAGAGCGAATTCATTTATTTGAGGTAGTTTCATTATCTGACTAGGACTAGTCGTCGTAATATTCGTGACAGGAACTACATTTTATAAATGCTAAGTTGTGCTTCTGATTTAATATTTTCACATGACTGTTGTAGCAGCACTAATAATTTACTTGACTAGTAATATTTCAAAAATGTGAATGTATGTTAGATGAAGTATTCTAAACTCTACGTTATCATTTGAACCGAGGAGTTAATAATAGTAAGATAATCCCAATTTACTATCACAGGGCTTTGTAATTTTAGTTGTCAAAGTAAGTAAATATATTAACAAAGAAGTGATCAATATTTAGCTTCACCATAAATGTTTTTTTTCTCCAGCCAGTTAAAGTTTTGGACCTACTGAATGGTTATCCTCTTCTCGATGTGAAAGACTATTACCTCCTTCACAGTATCGTGTCCTTTATAGACTTCGCTGTTGGAAATGATGTTACTTCCAAATATAGGGTAACTTTTAATATCCAATTACAAGATTGTTTAAGATATGCATATGTTAGATAATATCCAGAATTATTAAGGTAAACGATCACCATTAAAAGTGGTTATTTGAAAACGTTAAATTGGTACCAAATCTTTAATTCAACGGCTTCTTTAAAACTACAGAATGTTAATTGTTTTTGTCTTTGTAGCAAACCCTTTTAGATCTAATTCCTCAGCTGATGAAGAGTATAGGAAAGATCAGAGATACAATTCAATGTCTCGAAGGAATGCAGGTAAAAATAGCCTCCTCACTAATTGGACCAAATCCATTCGTATCTTAACCTTACCACACAGAATTAAATAAAGAATCCACTTATCTATACATTTTTTAGTTTTTAGGTTTAGTTTTGGGTAAATCTAGAGTAACCTTGCCCAAAAAACTAACTATTGTTTGTCATTAGGCTTACCTGTGTTGAAATGTAAAGGATGTTAACTTAGATAGGCTTACAGTAACCTTTGTGTGTTAAGCTATCATCAATACAACCAATAGTGAAATTTTCCCTTTGTGTTAATTTTAGGTAAAAGATGCAGTGACGAGACTGAGGAGCAAGTGGACTTTTATGATTGAAAGTCTTCCTTACAGCCAAGTAAGTAGCCAGTTTTTATAGAATATGCTATTAATTAAGATTACCAATTTTATACGAACTAGTACTTTATAAAACAACACAGTATGTGTATTCGTATCTTCTACTTTTTTTTATGAAAGCTTTTAAGGAAATATTAGGCACAAGATCCAAGTTTTTTTTTTATTTGTGTAATTCGTTCTATTTTTCATAGACAACTCTATTCAGTTACGTCACTGGTGAATACGATATTGAGCAGATAGAAGACCTTGATACAGAGGAGATATTATGTAAATAGAGGCCTGGAAATACCTTCTTACGTTCAGCTGTTGTGTCAAAAAAATATTTTTATATTACAGTGTAATTAAATATGTTTATACCCTCTTTACGGAGCACGTTTAATTTTTGCACGTAGTTTGCTACTTGAATTATAAGTACAGCAGCTGTAAGAAGAACAAACAATACAAACGTATTACTGCAATATTCAGCGGAAACATGATAGCAAACCATAGAGTTAACAACTGGTAAGCCCGATGAGTATCTTAGCACAAGTAGGAAACACAGGTCAACTTTTCACAAACTTCTTTAGAAATTTATTACTTTTATTTTACTCTCTCTTTGCATCTACAATCCTAATCCAATCGACAGGTTCAGCACTACCCACTAATATTCCAATGTACCAATCTATGGCACCTGTAAAATATCCAATCACTCAACAAGGTAGATTTAGCTCTTGAGGAGGGGGACATTTCCCCTTATCAAAACGTCTTGTACAAAAAAATGGAAGCTGACAGTTCCCTAATCTAATCTATTGTTGTTGTTTTTTTTTAAAGGATCTAAGTTGACATCTTTCAGAGTAACAGTAAACACGAGTAGAAACGTTACAAAATCAGCTTCTACTACCTGTTAGATTATTTACAAAACCTGCCTAACACATGAAATTGCAACTGTTCACTTAAAGATATTTTTCGTACTGGCTGCCCTCATCTTTTAACAAGTCTGCGGTCGTGATTACCAAACACACAGTGACATATAAAGTGCTTTAATATAGGTGAAACAAGTATCTGTACAGCACAAAGATCTAAACTACCATACAACAGCTAAGTTTACTACATTACTAAACAGCTGGTATCCGTCTCCAGCCTTACCAAATACACGAGAACTGTATACATTGTGCATACGAAATAGTTTACGTACATCTTTAAAATGTCTTGGCCCTACTTCGCGGTAGGATCTGGCGGTCTTTAATTTCGAAAATCAATCAGAATATGAAAATACAAAGGTTCTTGTCTTTGATGTGTCTAGGAGGGCACCATTCGTGGTAAAGTAAGCAAGTAAACACGACTACCTTACTCCAAAAATACCTGTATATTCTTACACGAATATAAATCAATGTCTACTGAATAGTACTACTTTCTCTTTATAAATAACAATGTTCTATCTTTATCTTTACAGCATGGAATGCCAGCATTATTAACTTTCATTTTTTTCCAACGTGTACTTGAATCACACTTAAAAAAACAATCAGAAGTGACAGTATTTCAGATTAAGGCAGGGTACCTATTATCTAACACTTGCTGATGAATTCTTTTTACATATTTATTTCTTTTAGAGGGGTGGGGGTGGGGGACTTCCTGTCCTAGTTCAACTACTTCGGATGTAATAGAGAGAGAGGTGTGTACATGCCTAAGACATTCTTGTTTCAAACGGGGTGGGGGGGTTGGGCATCCACGCACCTCTCTCTCCGACCCTTAAAGTCCTCACATTGTGAGCAACAGAGGTTGTGGTATCATCTCTTCTTTACTGAGCCTGGTAGTGTTGCATAGGGTAGGCACCAATCACGCTGGGCTGTTGAAGTCCCTGTCCCATGGGGCTCTGGGCAGCTGCTGCAGCCATTGGAGGCTGTCCCGGAATTCCCTGCCAAGCCATCTGCATCCCCATACTGTGGCGAGGGAAGAGGAAGCGTTTAGTTCACAGACATCATACAGATCTATTTTAAACTTGCACTCACAAAAATTAACTCGTAAACAAAACTTATCTGAAGCAATAGTACAATCAAAAATTAAATTACGTTTACAACAAAATCCAGCCACTATCTATCTGTATTAAAAGACCTACCAGTCACTATCCATCTATAATAAAAAGACCTACCTCGCTGCATGCCATGCAAATTAAGTTACCTCTGTATAGCTATTTCAAAAAGAGTCCCCGCTAATCTCTTAAGCATATGCCAGAGGAAAGTTTACTGAGACTGTAGTTTCAAGTTACAATCAAGAGTTTGTGTAAAGCTCATACCAAGCGTACAAAACAAAACCATAATACAGAGATACCTTATGACCTAATAACTACAAGTTTAAAAATTTGCAATTGATATAAGGGAGGTAAAAAGAAGCTTCACAGGGTTGTAAAGAATTTATGATGATGTTAGACTTAGAAGCTCAAAAAAAAAATCTTTATATATCTTACAGCTTTCAAATTAGAGCTAAACATTACAGTTATAATTTTAGAGGAGAGACCAGCTAAAAGTTTTAAAAACTTATAAAATGAAGGTCGTAAATTTTACTTCTTATTTTATACTTGACAGACAACATTTTAGAAATATCAAAGAATTAACTTTAGATAAATACAGATATATATATATATATATTTAGCTTGTAAGAAAATCAACACACTCACCCGAATCCTTGCCCGTAGTACTGGCCATAAGGGTAATTCATTCCCTGCACAAACTGTCCCTGCACTGGGGGGTAGCCTTGAGGGTACCAGTAGCCCATCTGTTGGTAGGGGTAGGTGTAAGGGGTTGTCAGGTTCTACAGTACACACACAAGTTTATAAATGTTAGTACCAAGACAAGTATGGTCATGAAAGGAACCTGCTGTAGGGGCACTTACGTTTGTTTTCTCAAGATGCCCCCTGGTGGAGTCGATGTGAGCATTGTTGAGGCTCATATTTCACCATTATCCCATGATGTTTTCAACAAGTAACTAAAGCAGCTAGAGAAAAGCATTACAAAACTCGTGGGTCCTTTCTAACAGCTTACTTCAGGTGTAAAGTTTCCGATAAATTTTAAGCTTCATAGTCGGGACCTAATGTCATACTAGATGGCGCTAGCCCATAAACAGTGAGCCTAGGAAAATGTCCATCCCTCTAGTTTGGTTTTGCAAGAGCCTCCCAACACACATGGAAAAATTTCCTGTGTAATAACTTTGCCACTCAAGAAAGCTTTATTAAGAAAAGAAACACTAAGCGCCCCAAAGTTATTTTTAGAGAACAAAGAAAAAAGTATTTAAGTTGCTGTATTTGAATTGATTCTATACATAAAAAACACACTTTAAGGAATTTTGTACAAGACTTTTTTCACTAACACATGCTAGGTGGCTTAGCAGATTACCCCCCACCAAGTCGGTTTAATTTGGTTTAGCCTATTCATGACTGATACCTGTATGTTACACAGAGATAGCAATGAAAGAAGTGTTCGTAAACTAGTGATTTCATAATGTTAAAAGAACTAATTCGACTGTAAAATAACTTTTCCATTTATAAACTACTAAACAGAATATTGTAACCTAACAACAAAGTTCTGAAAGTATAGGAATAGAGTCAACATTTCCCAGCTTAAAAACAGATTTCTGGTATTATAGTTTTCGTTGATGATCAGATGTGATAAATCGTGGGTACAGACCACTGAAACTGGCAGCCATTCGCTACAATAAACAGTCACATCAGAATATTTAACATCGCTTTTAACAAAAAAAAAACAACCTCAATGCTAGAATAACCGTCTGCAATAATGACCGAGGATTAAAAAAATGAATAACAGGTGTAACAGGAAAATATCGAGATTTACGTTAATACCTTTTGAAAGAAAGATAATTAATTCAATAAGACCTTACTTGGGTTTGCTGTTGGTTGGTAGGATCACCAGTTTCCTTTCCCCAGGAACACTTGACTATCTGACTGTTAATTTCAGAATTGTGTGTGCCGACTATTGCATGTGTTGCTGCCTCCTTCGTGGCAAACCTTTAAAAAAAAAGGTAGAAAAGTTTTTGATACCACACCCAAGCTACCTGTACTTATAACAGTTTTTTAAGTTGATGAAAATTGTAGTGTATTATCAAGAAAACCATTTACCAAGTTCCAATACTGGACTTTCACTCTTTATTCAGTGTGCTTTGAAAACCATTTACCAAGTTCCAATACCGGACTTTCACTCATTATTCAGCATGCCTTGAAAACCATTTACAAAGTTCCAATACCGGACTTTCACTCATTATTCAGTGTGCTTTGAAAACCATTTACAAAGTTCCAATACTGGACTTTCACTCATAATTCAGCATGCCTTGAAAACCATTTACCAAGTTCCAATACCGGACTTTCACTCATAATTCAGCATGCCTTGAAAACCATTTACAAAGTTCCAATACCAGACTTTCACTCATAATTCAGCATGCCTTGAAAACCATTTACAAAGTTCC